TGTCTCGTTCACCCCGTGGTGCGTTTCACGATGAACGAAGCACGCTTTCTCTTATGCTACATTGTCTTCGTTCACTTTAAACTACACCACCTTTGATTACAGGAAAGCCAGTCAATGTAGGATGTGGAGCGAAGCGAACCCCAAAAGGACAAACTAGTGTAATGCAAGGAGCAGAATGGTAAAGGATGCGCGCCTTTTGCTTCGTTTCATTATGCTAGTTTGGGTCTTGTTGGTGTTTTCTTGCAACTTTTCCCTTTACAATGAAATGCACAACCCGAAAGAGCAAATGAAAACCAACACAACAAAAGGCGCGCTTACATTTCATTGCCATATTGTCGCATTAGGTTTAATTAAAGCTTGTGGGATCCATGCTTGGCAGTGAGCTTGGAAAAAGATGTGAGGAAAACGGAATGTTGGATGTACCGTGACTGGCGGTTAAACTCAGAGAATGACTCGCGAGTCCACGGTCAACCTTGTGCCTGATTACATTCGTAGCAAGGCCAAGCGAGATGATCAAAACATACACTTCGTTTGTGTTTCTTCATTCGCCTCACTTTGTTATTCTCTTATTATGATAAAATGGAGTGAAGAATGAACGGAACCCAAAAGAGCCAATGTAATTGAATTGAAGGTAACATAGAGAAACGAAGGCATGGTTTAATTCATTTAAAGCTGGGTTTTGTGGCTCTTGTTTCATTTCGTTGTCTGCAATTATGAAACGAAGTGCAAGCCGTGCGTCTCTTACGCTTCATTCATTTCGTTTCATATTAAAGCACAAAGGAAAAACAAGTATTGGATTCTTCAGTCTAATTATCTTCCCGGCTCTTCATTCTAATTATCTTTCCCTTTTCTGTTTTATGTGCTGGTAATGTAATCAAAGAGGAGACAGCATGAAGGTCATAAAAGGCAAAGTAGAAAGTGAAAATAATGAAGGTAAATAAGCAGAAATCAAAGCTAACATATTTTAGGCTTACATCCTTTTTCCTTTCCTACAACTACGATTGCTGTTTCCGTTCAGTTCCTGTTTTCGTTCCTTTTGTGCTTGGCTCATTCACGCTTCCATTCCTTTCGACGGTACTGACCCGAACAAGAAAGGAACGAAAGAAGGAACAGAATGAACGGTTAGACCAAGATATGACATGCAAGGGAGAGGAATAAGCGCACGGAACGCACGGTTCCTTTCACACCCTTCATGTCATTTCTTGCGAGAACAGAATGACCAGGAAACTAATGATAGGGTTATATCACAGGGAATTGAGGATGTTAATGGTGAAAGACTTCTTTCATCTAACTCGATCTCTTCATGAAATTTCCTATCTTGTGATGTGTCCTTTGTTGAGACTTGGTGGGCTTTCTTGAACTAAAGCGAAAACAAATCAAATCAAGGAAATGCCTGCTTTGCCAGCACCATGCATACAAGGGCTTCATCTGGATCATTCTTCTGTGTCATGAGTCGTGCATGTATGATGTTAGTTTTAATAAGCGAAAAGCATGCGTTCCTTCTGTCATTCATCCATGCACACCATTCACTTCTCATCTTTCACTCATCATCGGTTAACCCTTGATTTGTGGTTCGCCAGGGACAATAGGCTCATGAATCCCAATTTCTTATAAAGGGATTCTGATGGCACCTCCATGTCGGCTCATGTTTTCGTTTTCTTTGTGCTTCGCTTAATAGACATAAACCATGCATCAGTTCCTTCTTTATGTTTAAATTACGCAAAACAATGATGAACGAAACCGTGAGATCGCCTGCTGACATTTTGTTGTTGGGTTTAATTGTGGTGTGTCTTGTGCGGTGAAACAAAGGATGAAAACGTGTGCCGCATTCAACTGAAATAAAGCAAGTTTTTGCTCCGCTTCATTGTCTTTGTTTCATTTAAGCAGGCACATCGTTCCTTCTTACTGTTCCACCTTTCACTCGTTACCTTGGCTTTGTGGGAATAAAGAACACATTTTGTTCAATGAAAAAGACCGCGGTCCTTCTGTCACCTACCTGTTACTTAATTGAAACAAATGAAACCAAAATTGCCTCTTCATGGACAGAAAACTTCTGTTGGTTGACTTGGGCTTTGATCGTAGGACACAAACCGTCAGACACCTTGGAAATTAATGACTTGGTTTCTGGTTCCGTTCGTATTGTGTTGTATCTTTTTGAATCAACGGAACATGCAATCGTTATTCGCTTCTCTTTGCTGCAATAAGATGAGACACGCAACATTCTCATATCTTGTGGGTTCCTTGTTTCGTTCATAAAGAGCCCAATTTAATGTGAATAAAAGGTAAGGAAACACGCTTTTCTTCCTGTTATATCTAGCTCTTTTAATTACAGCCACGTGGCATGATCCTACAAGAGAAAAGTTGTCAGAAGATTCGATGTCATATTGTCATTAGAATCATTAGAAGATCCCATTTAAAGAGAGATCTAAGCCTACAATATAAGTCTCCAGAATGTGTGGTGCGTGAACTGAAGAGAGCAACAAACACGCTCTCATTTCATTCCATTCCACAATCACCACATCTCCAAGACGGAAAAGATTATAGATAGACAAATAACTGTTGGTAAAGGGTGATGTCGTTCCTATGTTGTCTGTTTTTGTCTTAATCGCGCATACTTTCTATTTTCACTTCTTTGCATTAACTAAAACAAACTAAACAAAAGACTGACTTCATTGTGTTGACTTGGACTTGTTTCACGGCTGGAACTCGGATGGTGGATCTGTGGTTAGTTTTCTTGGTCACTATTTCGTTCATCACAAAGCCCCGTACATTTACAGTCAAAGCATGATTTCATTCGGTTTCCTTATCTTAAACTACAAATGATTTGACTTCTCTGATTGTCTTCATAGTTTTATAATTTAACTGCCAGGAAGCCAAGTGAACTAACTCCTGATGTGATTCGTGCCTGGCTGTGAGTTGTGGGCGGTGGCGTCGTGAATTTGAATAAAGGAATCATGCTCCGTTCCTTTCGCTTTGCTCTCTACACTACATTCTCTTATCTTCTTTTCACTAAAGGCAACGCCCACCGATCAAGCTGCCTGACTAAGGCCGTGTCCATTCAATCGATTAGGGGCTTATTCTACTTGTACATATATCGAAGAAGATTTTTCAGTTAAGATGTCATGTTGTGGCCTGTGGCCCGGACAACTTTAGATTGCGGCAAGGCGCTCATTTCGGGTGCACACGAAGCCAAACACTATGTCACTACATGTTGCAGCGGCATGTCAAACTGCCGAAGCCTTACCCATTCAGTCGACCAAAGGCTGACTCAAACTATACATAAAGGTCCATGGCACATATATATATATAGGGCCCAAATCGCCTGCGCAGGGCAGGAATATTGTAGGCCCCAGCACCCGCCATGGGTGCGTCTGCCGGCTACGGGCAAGCAATGCATAGCGGCAAGTGTGCCATGCACAAGCTGGGCATTCAGGTTTTGCATTCACCCGACATGATGGCGATCATGGACGCAAAGGACACACTGTGTAAGGTGACTTTGTTGAGCATTCGTTCGGAGGACATGCTCGCAGACCACACAGCAGATGAGTTTGCAACTGGCTTCAAGAAGAGGCCGGCTTTTCAGCTGCGCGGCATCAAGCAGAACAGAGGCTCGTCATGCGAGGGAGAATGGATCACCAAGCGGGAACCTAGCAGCTCATGCCCTTCACCTGTTGCGATGGTGTTTACGGGTTCGAAGGACATGCTGTGCAGAGTGGCCATATTGAACATGGGCTGGGAGGACTCGCTCGCACCACTCACCATAAAGGAGTCTGCGACTGGCTTCAAGAAGTCGCTGGCTTTCAGGCCGCACGGCATCAAGCAGAGCAGAGGCTCGTCAGGCGAGGGCGTTTGCACCACCAAGCGGCAACCTGGCAGCTCATGCACTTCACCCGATGTGATGGTGTTTATGGGCTCGAAGGACATGCTGCGCAAGGTGGCCATGTTGAACATATGTGTGGAGATGGCTTGGAGGACAATGCTCGCACACTTCACCGTGATGGCTGCCATCAAGAAGACGCCGGCTTTTCAGCTGAGAGGCATCAAGCAGAGCAGAGGCTCGTCAGGAATTTGCGGCTGTCTGCATGAAGACGTCGGCTTTCCAGCAGTGCGCCATCAAGCAGAACAGAGGCTCGTCAGGCCTTCGATCTAATGACGCTGACTCCGCTATCCTGGCTTAGCAGTTCCTGATCATGTAAGTGAGTGATGCTGGAGCGCTTTAGATTTGCGTGTGGAGGTCCTATGGCCTTCATGCTATGGTTGAGTTTGATGTCCCGATATCACCTCGATGAAGGTGTTAGACATCCTGGGTATTGTAACCGTGTAGGAATGGCCTCAGCTGATACCCATGAGGAAGATCCTGCACGTCTTGGGTCCGATATGTGGATCGTGCGTTGTCTGATGCTTTGATCGCCGTTTACGGAATACAAAGCATCCTTTGTTTGCCGTGCATTCTCAGGCATTCTTCCATGCGCCATCTTTGATTTTGTTGTGGGGTTGGGCCAGCTTTTCCGTTTGCTGGCTACATCCCACCCCTGTCCGGTGAGCGCATACTATGTCAATAGATTTCTGCGCCACCCCACTTTCAATTAAATGCAGTTTGAATTCACCTTGCTAGGCGAGCGTCGTTTACCGACTCAACCGCAGAGAATGAAATGAATGATATATATATATATATATGTAAGAACATATATATATATATATAGATGTATACAAGCACACACACATCCCGCCCCCCACAACACACCCACACCCAAACTTGCACGCGGCGCGACTCCGACAAGGCAAAATCTTCCTTAGGGTGGCTTTGGCTTGGTGTTAGCGGCAGCTCGGCCTCGGGAGCTGGGCTGGCGAGGAGTGCTCGGTGCAGTCTGCGGCGTTCCTCCAAAAGCGCAAGCGAAGCCGTGACGATGATTCAACCACAGGCTACAGCAGGCAGTCTTCTCAGAAACAGCTGTGAACTTGGCAAGCCATTGTGTCGAAAATCAACCCGCTAGCCAAGC